CCCCGCAAAAAAAAAAGATCGAATAATGCAGCGTATGTCATTAAAGGACCGTTTAAGTCTTGCACAGAAATTAAAAGGTTATGAATAGTACCTCATGTGTTAATGTGTCAAGACAGACTGTTTATAGACGACTGCAAGAAATAGGACTGTTTAATCGAACCCCAGGAAGAAACCACTTGTTAGTTCGAAGAATAAGAAGAAGAGATTAGAGTTTGCAAACAGGTATGTAATTTGGACATATGAAAATTGGGCAAAAGTATTTTCAGTGATGAAAGTTTTAATTTATTTGGAAATGATGGAAAAAACAATGTAAAGAGACATATTGGTGAAAGATTAAGTGCAAAGTGTACTAAGAAAACTGTCAAGTTTGGGGGCGGAAGCGTCATGGTATTTGGAATGTTTCTAGCCAAGGTACAACGCCTCTTGTCCGGTTACAAACTTGTGTAAACGCGCAGATCTATAAAAACATTGTTCAAGATCATGTTGTGCCAATCATACAGAATTCAGGTTTCGATAGGGCTACCTTTATGCAAGATAATGCCCCATGTCACAAGGCAAAGGTGGTAATGAGTTACCTTAGCGAGCAAGATTTGGAAATTATGGATTGGCCACCGCAAAGACCTGACTTAAATCCAATAGAAAATCTTTGGAAGACCTTAGGAGTGAAAGTTATGGAAAGAAATCCCACTAACACGGAGGATTTGTGGGTGAAGCTTCAAGAAGAATGGTCTAAAATTAGTATCGAGGATTGTCAAGAACTGATTCGTTCTTGTAGTCGAAGATGTGCAGCTGTCATTAAGAGCAAGGGCTCATTTACTAAATATTAATTGTACATGTATTTTTATTGTTTTTTTGCCGTTTACATTGTTTTTCTCAATTTTGTCCCTTACTTTTGGACGTTCCAAATTTGAAAATAAATAAATAATTGTTATAATTCTTTTTCTATCCTTTGCAAATGATTCAAATTTTAGTATGTTATTATGGATGATAACGACTACCAGTTGTCAAAATTTCAGCTTTTCACAGTTGTTATTTCTAACAAATATTAGGTTTTAAAATTTTGTCCCTTAGTTTTGGACGCTACTGTATATATATATATATATATATATATATATATATATATTAAGTGAATAAATTACAGATATTATATCTGCTAATTTTTAACAAAATTCGTTCATACTCACGAATAACCTTCCGTGTATTTATGTTAAAGGATGAAAGAAATGTGTTATAGCTGTTTAAATTTCTTTTATTTTCATTTCCCAAGTACTTTCGATCTTTTTCCAAGATCATCTTCGCGGGTGCAAGTAGTACAAACCTATATGTCGTTCATTAACATAAGTATTAATACAAAGTTGTGCGTTGTTATCTATTACTGTATATTTAAAAGCATAATGAAAAAAATGGTATAATCCCAAGTCATCATTCAAGCGAGAAAGACTTAAGAATTCTGCCAGACTAGCCAGCCATGTGTGAGAATTAAAAGAAAAAATTACAAAGATCCGATTGTAAACTGGAAAATATTTTTTTTTTTTTAAGCAAAATTTACACCAACCGTAGTGATATCTGCAAACTGTGTCAGGAAGAAAAGTTGACAAGAAGAACATTTCCAGACCCCCCACAAAAAAAAAAATCTACTGAATGAAAGATCGGAAATAATGACACGATGGATGCACATTAAAGTATTCGTACGAACCATGATGATAGATTGTACATTTTATTTATTTCCTCTTCAATACAATTTCAATACTCTTGCTTTTCTCCCCCCCCCCACTTCTATTATATTTCACGTTGTGCGTTTATAGATACATAATAAAACATTAGGAAATCATTTCGTTCATATCGCCTGAGGATATCGAAAGGTTTAAACCAAGGTAGCATGATTGGCTGATCTAATTTTTTAAAATTTGGAATCTCTCCATATTCATTTTTTAAAAAAATTTTTTATACGTGCATTGAGCACTTTTAATGCATCTGTTAATGGTCTAATTCTTTTAATGCAACTATCTCCTGGTCTAATTCAACCCTGACCAATAACTGTTTTATATATATATATATATATATATATATATATATATATATATATGTAAATCTATTTAAACTTGGTAGGTGAAAATCTGGATAGTACCATTTTGAAATAAATTGGCATCCGAGGAAAAATGGAAACCTCCGAACAGGGCGAAAGAAATCATCCAGTACCTTAAATTTCTGGTACAAAGAAAAAACCCAGCAAGTAATAAGTTAAAATGAAGAATGGTCAATATACTAAGTAGAGCCAAAGTAAAATAATTAAATCCTAATGAGCCAAGCACCACATACATAGGTTTCACTAAAGATTTAGTTTTTAGTCTAATTTTATCAATAAATTTGTTCCTCGTTAATTGCTCCTTAGACAATTCACCCTTATGATCACATGTGGTGAAACCTAGGTAGGTAGTACCTGGCTCATTAGGATTTATTATATATATATATATATATATATATATTATATAATTATTATAATTATATATATATATATATATATATATATATATATATAATTATAATAATTATAATTATATATATATATATATAGAATTGTTTCGGTGTATCCTCAGTGCGACTAGGCAATGTCTCAGGCCCAAGTCGAAAACCAACTGATTTGGTGTCAGTCAAAGCTTCTACGATTGTGCCATCTTCACTCGGCTGAATGAGTCAGCCAAATCTGGCGTATTGCTTTTACAAACGTAAACAAACGCCAAGCAGCCATAGTGCTCCATTCATTTTACTGGAGAGCTTCGCATTTAAGCAGGTGGCCGTTGTTTTTAGAATTAGCTTGTCATTCAACTGTAGTCAATTGAAAATATATTTTCAAGCGCTAAATTATGTCATTTGCAGGGAGTAATGTTTCGCTGTATGACAGCTCCTCAGTGCGACTAGACAACCGAATGCCTCAAGATATATATATATATATATGTGTGTGTGTGTGTGTGTGTGTGTGTGTGTATGTATGTATGTATGTACGTATTTCCCTCAATAGGAACAATATTTTAATCTGATGAAGACATTTAGAAGGACGAATTGCGTCACAGATGTCTTTTCTATTTTGCCATTGAGTTACCCACCATTAGACTGATATATTGGGTTTATATAAAATGTTTCCCCATAAACTGGTATATAATTGGACTATTTAGTCTTTATTTTGATGAATTTGTGAAATTATAAACAATGTCCACTATTTACATTATTTGAACTATTGTCCTCATCTTTGTCGCCATATTTATGACAGCTACAGCAAAGTAAAAAAGGATCCTACAATGAAAACGGAACGCAAGCTGCCAGAGATACTAATCAAAAACAAGGATCACTTCGCACCTAAGACGTATAGGCAGTTATCGCAGCGTTACACCAAGCTACTTCACATATACGGTCTCCCTAAGATTCACAAAGAGGGTATTCCGCTTAGGCCGATTGTTAGTTGCCAAGGCTCTGTGTGCAATCTTCTGAGTCGCTTCCTTGTAGATATAATTGACCTACTGATCGGAAAATCTCCTTCATATGTCTGTGTAACAAATATGGTGACAAAAATGAGGACAATAATCCGAATAATGTAAATAGTGTATATAATACCTCATCTCAGAAATATAGACAGCTAATAAACAATGTCATTGAAACGTATTTTTGACAAATTCCTTTTTTTATCTTTATCCAATGTGCAATGAGACGCATTTAAATACCATGTTGATTTTCTCTTTTTTTTCTATGTATCGTGTCCCTTTAGGACGTGAGAGATCATGGCTCCCCACATCTTTCTGTCCTTTGTAGCCATTAGTAAAATTTGTATTTTTACTATATCTCCTCATTTATGCTCCTCTAATCATTTACACAAACCCGTTATGTTGTTGACGCACTATTTTCTTGTCCTTTAATATGTCCCGTGAGTGTCAGATTTTCCAAGCCCTCTTTCCTCATAATGTACCTGAGAAACTTCTGTTATCTGATGTTACATAGAAGTGTTCTTTTTGTTTCAATTTTCTCTAAAACAGCGTCCTTGCTCCCGCGTTCAGTCCACCGTCCTGTCTGCATAAGCTCATTAAAGTCAAAACAGACACGACGGCCACTGATGCGTGCATATGTAATAAAGAGGGGGAAACACACACAGCATCTGAAGACGTACTTGTGCATCTAGTGGGTGTAAATAAAGTTAAAAATGAAAGTTAAATATAACTTCATGAAATAAATAGAAAAAAAGCATAATTTTTAAAGTGCCGAATGATTTCCTTCTGTCCGGATTATATTTTAATGTTTTCCATCCGCTTCAATTACTTGCATTTTTAGTTTATTTATTGCAATTCTGTAAAGTGCTTAAAAAAATTAATGTTTAAGCTGACTGTATGTGAAATAAACTGAAAAATATATCGGGAAATATTTTGCTTCTGTAAGCGAGAATATGAAATAAAAAATGATTATTTGTTTTTATACATATCAATATATTCGAATTATACACTAAACTAGCTCCTAATGTTTATTCCAGTTATGAAAAGCACACTAAAAATATTTCACAACTAACAACGCCGTCGCATACAATATGGCTGGTTATGGTAACAGAAAGTCTCAAGATAGATAGATAGATAGATAGATAGATATAGATAGATAGATAGATAGATAGATAGATAGATATGGAGAAACTGAGATAGATAGATAGATAGATAGATAGATAGATAGATAGATAGATAGATAGATAGATATATAGATAGATAGATAGATAGATATGGAGAAACTGAGATAGATAGATAGATAGATAGATAGATGGATAGATAGATAGATAGATAGATAGATAGATATGGAAAGACTGAGATAGATATGGAAAATTGAGATAGATATATAGATAGATAGATAGATATGGAGAAATAGATGAGATAGATAGATAGATAGATAGATAGATAGATAGATAGATAGATAGATAGATAGATAGATATATATGAATAGACGAAAGATAGGTATGTGGAGGAGTTTCTGGA